ATTGATTCTTGATTTTTCCATATTTTGTTAGTTATAAGTTGAAAGGTCACAGATGTTAAATTCAAATACTCATGATAGTATTCAGTATGAATTGGTGAATCAGAAATGTCACGTCATTTGACATACATAATTTTCAAAGTATAGTCTTATATGTCGAGTGTTTTCATCGCTTGCCATGGTTTCGGTGTTTAGACTTCACCAAGGCTATGTGGTCTCCAGCCACCACTTTCTTGAATTGATGACATTCGTTATGCGACAAAGAAATCGAAATAAATGTTTTGTGATGAGTCTGCGCGTACGTCTCTTACCTTTCATCAAGAATTGCTTCAAAATGAAAGTGTTAAATAAATAATATAATTAATTAATCAGTTATCAGTTTAGCGTTTTCTGATAAGAAATGTAAAATGTATGTGTTTCATGTCTATCTTTGCAATATGTTGCCAAAATCTATTTTACAAACCTCGCTGCTATTTTTCACACCTTAATACCTTCGTCAACCTAGACGGGTGAAGAAAAGTTTTTTAAGAAAAAGTACATATGTAGTCGACGAATGGCATTAAAATCTCCCGCCCAGTACGTAAGAAAATGAACAAATAAATCTTTGTGTATTGTACACATTTTCACATAAATCATAAAAGGATCGCATATATTTTTTAAACCTAACCAGATTTTCAGGTTCATCCAATGTTAACCCGGTTTGACCACTCCTCAGAATCTCGCGTCCAGTATCCCTGTTCCCCGTATTTCATATTTTCCTCATCAATTTGTCGGAATTAAGATAAAGCAATAAATATTGTTTCCATATTCCCTCAAAGTTTCATTTCTCTTTAATTCTATTGTTCAATTTTTTCCCGGCTAGATCGAGTTAAACGCTGTGGGTAGGAGAATTATAGCCCCTATTGGTAACCTTAGATTTCGCCTATGGTTGTTGTTCCTTGGAACCACTTAAGGTTGTTCAGGGCATCACATGATGTCATCACAGTGCTTCTAATCGGCAGGTAGGGGTCGAATCCCGACGAATTTTCCCCACTAGCTAGATGAAGTTAATTGCTCTCTGGGAGAGAATTCTAGCGGCTGATCGGCTGCTCTGATCGGTAGTTTTCCTTCATTTTAACGATCTACACCGGGCAAATTCGGAAACAGTACCCTAACAAAAGGGCCACGCGCCAGACGAGATATTTCCTTCCTCTTCCTTGTCCAACGTATCCCTACCACCCCTTACGTATACATATACAAATTACATGCATTACAGTACTACATGCCTGAAGAGCAGTCGGGATCTTTGTACTTGTCCCGATTGTGGCGGTGCCTTAATGGCTGAGGAAACCATGTATGATGATGTGTATGTCTGCGTTGAATCCCACCATCCAGCGGGGAAGGAAACCTCCACCGACCATATAAAAAATACACTTAGGAGGCTAACGACCATAGTAGTTGACACGCCCGGAAATACAAAAAAGTCAAAGTAAATTCAGTCTATCTGCCTCTTTCCTATCACTTAATATATCCAATTACGCTCCCAAAGCTGAAGAGCTGAGCGTTACATTCCTGGTAAATTTTTTTTTTACAATTCAAGAAAAGTATCACCAATAATATTTCTTTTACATAAAAAAATGTAGATTTTATTTCTAAAAATATCAGTATAATTATTATTATTATTATTATTATTATTATTATTATTATTATTATATAATTATGAAATGTTTTAATTTTGTTGCTCGCCTTAATATTTCTCAATTGTTTATTTTCACATAGATCTTATTTCAATTGCCGCGGTACGCAGTTTGATGGATTTAACATCTGTCCAAAGGAAACTGTTTTAAAGAAATATTCAGAATATTACTGTAAATACGGACTTATGTACTTTAAAATTAGATGCATTTTTCCGACATTCGTTTTATTCTTTACTCTTTGAAATTGCATTAAGTCTTCATTTTTCCTTTTTTTAAATTTGAAACACGCACTATGAACGGTTTTTCGTAGAAAAAATGAATACTTCAGAACTAGCAATAAACTAATGGCCTGATTCTACTACAATTAAGATATCGCAGACTAATTTGATTGTCAGCACTTATGTATCATCATTAAATATTTTAAATTGTTCTACTTCATCTGAAGCCATTCCTTATGAATTAAAAAATATATCCAAATATTCATTATGATAATTATATTTCATTCGATTATTTTTGCATAATTATGAAAATGATCATAATATAACAGGCTCAAGTGACAAATTAGTTTTAGTATATGTTGACATACCAAACTTTCAAACGTAACTCAATCATATTGCGGACATTTTAATAGAAAAAAAAGCTTCAAGACATGCGGAAGACATATGCTTAAAACCGTCGTTTGTTTAGAATGTTCCCACTAAGTTGTCTCTGAGAATGTAACCATATAAAATAAAGACATATCTCGTGTTGTACATTGCTTTTGTGATGTTCTCGAAAAATTTCAATCCCGCGTGACGGCAGTATTTCTTTCTACCACATTGACACGCACGTATCACGTGTGGTCATAAGAACCCTTTTTCTGAAGCATGGACCGCTTACCGCCTCAGCAAATATTTGATGTAGGGGACTTTCTTCTTAGACTCGCTATGAAACACTTACGTAAAAAGGACTCAGTCAGAGAGACGATGGCGCCGTCCGCGATGGATTGTGTGAATGTCGTGCAATGTTTGCGCCCCGCAAGTTGCAGTTCATGTTCTGTATTTTTCCATAAATATTTCCTTATTGCGATTTTTCTTGGGTCTTACAAAACTTTCATTGTATTTTAAGAATGGAGATATTTCAGTCACATTATTCTTATTGTTTCTGACGTTTATTCACATGATATGTTGTGCATAGCACAATTCGAAGAAGAGCATAGTTGAAGAGCATATGAGAATCTCAATATGCAACTTTGACCATTAACTCCTCATGATTTTTTAAAATTTCATTTTAACAATTTCTTTTAACACGATAATTGTGAATCCCAATTTTTATTATTATTTTTATCGTATAGATTACGTTCCATAATTCTTGAAAACTAGGAGTAGTCATATTAATAATTGACTTGAATGAAGTTTTACAAATCACACTTCTAAGTTTGTCTCACCTACTACATCTTTCTCGAAAAGTGTTTTCGACCCATACTATGGATACTAGAGGTGCAAATTTCAAGCACTTCAATTAAAAAATTATGTGGTTGTTGCTCCGTTTTACGTACTAAACGAAGCATTTGCGTTTAAATAGATGATAGTGGAAAATGTGCATTCATCTTATGTCGAGAATATTGGATTGTGTGATTGATTTATGTAGTCAAAAAACAATAAAAACTCTGTGATGTATGGGGGAGAAAATCAACTGTGTTATTGAGTTTCCGAACACCTTCCGAAAACATAAAGTATAAATAGTTGAAAGATGAATAAAAGTTAATAATAATAATAATAATAATAATAATAAAATTTTAAATCAGCGCGAAATTAGCAACCTTTGTAGAAACTAGACATTTTCGTTCCCGAGTTATTTGCATCGACAAACGAACTATAGCTTTGAATCCTCCGTATTGCCAACCAAATACCGCCATCTCTACTCCTACCACTACAACAACTACAAGCAAAAAGAGAGTTCAGCAAAACGTACGCATAAAGAATCTACATTTATGTCCAGAAGCAAAACAAGGGGCCATCTCAGCATTTGTTTGTTTGGATCAGGGAAGATGGACAAAAAACTAAAGGAGATGAGGGTCATTGACCCGGAAGTTGAGAGATAATTTTTTCATTATTGAATCATTTTTAATCATTAGCACTGACATTGTGCTTTTATATGTTCACTCTATCCTATTTGGGAGACATTTTACAGCAACAGTAGCTCGCTCGTCTATGTATCCTGTAGAAATGAAAATACTTAAACCCGTAATAATTATTCAATCTAACGACTGATACCTTGAAGCAATCAAATGGAAAGTTAGTCAGTAATTTTGTCGCTATTAGTTTTCGCATTAGCATTTTAATGAAGCTAATGTTAGTAATTTTCAAAATTTTGGTACTAATTAACGTTACCCAGATAGATATTATAGCTGTGCGTTGGCGTTCCGTAGTCTGTAGCAATGAGATAACATTCTACGAACCGAGGACTACATTCTTGGCACTGAAACACTCCAGGTCGAAGAGTTATTGAACTTCCTTTACCTTGTAGTTTATTCTCTGCGTTTGCAATCCTTGAATCCTTAAGCAGCAGCTCCACTTCATTACTAATGCAATGTTATGATGAATGCTTGAAGAGTTGGTTGCAGAACTCATGAGGGGTCAAACGATGTCGAATCCTGACAAGTATTTGGACAGAACTTTCTTAATATTATCTTGCAGTAAAGAAATCCACCCACCCTTCCTCTTTTGAGGGAGCAAATAATGGACGGGTGCAGTGTATAGTCTCCTGCAACGACGAAAATTACAGGTTTTGTCACTCTACTCTACTGTTATTATTTCCTTCTCTCTTCTTCCATATCATTTGGATGTTTCGCAACTTCTTTCCGCAACGTATTCTTTTAACCACATTCTTTGAACTCTGTAGTACTTCATTGAGTGCGCAGATCTGGCAGCTCTCCAGATACGTGGCGCCGTTATAATGAAAACTGTGTGGTATTGGCAAGCGATTGTTGCTCCCCTACCCATTTCATATTGCTATTTGCCTCGAAAAGATGCGTATTAGGGCTTCTATCGTCATCTGAAAGATCATTGCTGGATTGAAACATCACTCTTACAAAATATTACCCTTCTTTAATATTGCTTCAAACATAAGGGTTATAAATAATAATTTTTGTCGGAAGACAAAGAGAAGACATGCGAATTTTCGCTGATATACTATCGATCTGGAAAGCACAAAAAACCGACAATTATTGAATGAGTATTACAGTGCCAAGGGCAACTAACGGTAAATGTTTGTCACCGTTATTGAGGTAATTTTTCAGCAATGAAACATTTCTGGAATCTCCTTTTCGAGAAATATCTACCAATATATTTCTCAGGATCGACATCATTTGCCTCCTCAGAGAAGTCCAACCAACTCTTTGGACGTTTTTGAGCAATATATAATCGTAATGAAGTGGCATTGCAACTTGAGTATTCGAGAACTGCTGGGAGGACCATCTGCAAATTGACCGGTATTCACGGAGGCTGTTCGTGGCGGTCCGGTCCAACTGCCCGCGGCTCAATACTGCAAGACGGTCCAGCCATTACATCTCTGGGGTCCTCGTTCTGTTGGAACTCTTCCTATTTCGGTAATGGCTGCTGTGCAAGGTGCCAATGAACGCATATAGCTTGAACGCTTGACTAAAGAACTTGAGCAACATTGGTTATTGTATAGTTTCATTTTTCGGTTCGTTTCGTTTCGGTTCCTTAAGATTCGTTTTGGCTCGTTTCGAATAAAACATTGTTAAAAGGATATTCAATATGCTTGTATTAAGATCGCAATAATATATGTTATTTTTTAAATACAAATATACGTTTTGTGATGGCAAGATACTACAATCATAAAGTTAAATCAAATTCAGATTCAAAGGAGCAATTTAAAAAAATATTTTATTCAACTTTCGCAATAATTTTGATGGGGGAATTTCTTTATTACAAGACAGACTTTTTAATTCAATATTTTGTTTCTCTTTTAATGCGAGACGGTGCAAACAATCGGGTGGAACTATTAAAAAGGTTCAATAAAAAATATAACTGTGTTATTACGAAAATTATGTTCAGATTTTGCGGAAGAATACCGACGCAGAGGGTTTGACTTTCGGAATGCAGTTATATTTTCAGACAAGCGAAAACATTTTGTGCTCCGGTTGGACAAGTATGGTTTGACGTAACCTTAATGCAGTATTGGATCCACGAAATATGGTCCCTATAGTGAAATTTTGTAAGATTTTCATGGTGTTCTCAGGATGTACTATGGGTGCCTCAAGAGAGGATCGTCAGCATGTAATAGATGGTATGATGGAACACAAGGTGCATATTAACATATATACCTAAAATATCCTTATTAATACTGTGGACAAGCGTCTTGGAAATAATATTATGTTTCAGCAAGCCAGTGACTCTGAACATCTCGCTTTCATTATTAAAATATGGATTTTCTACATCAAAAACCAATTCAACCAATTCAGACATCCAAGATTCCTTGACGTTAACTCTATAGAAAATCTGTTCTGTAGAACAAACACTGAAAATACAGATTGTCTAATAAAGAGGATCTTAACATGCTGTCATAATAGAATTTCTTTTATTGCCCCGCCCGCATCAGTTTGTAAAATCCATGCCATGATTCGAGCAACAAAAGTTAATAGAAACCGTACAGTGTATTCAATATCGCAAATGTTTCTTTTAACATACGATGACTTTCTTGTCTACCAAAGAGTTTTTTCCTTTTGTTGGTAAATGTCATATTTTAAATATATTTTGTTGTTTTTATTATTTTCTTTTTCAATTTATTACCATTCTTTTGTTAACAATATTTTGAACTTTTTTAAAATGAGGATAAAGGAGGTTTCCTGTAGTCTTAATTTTTATATCTGTTTCTCTAAAACCTTGTTCATATTCCATAGATGTTTTTCGAGTAGTTTTCAATGTTAACGATCACTTTTTTGCAGTAACTATAAGTAAAATTCTGTGCAATTATTATTAATATTATTATTATTATTATTATTATTATTATTATTATTATTATTATTATTATTATTAATATTATTATTATTATTATTAATATTATTATTATTATTATAGTAATATTATTAATTTTATTATTATAATAGTAATTATTATTATCTTCACCAGTAATATTAATGAAATGAGAGGTAATTAAAAATGACTTCCGTGCTGATTCACAGTAAAATCATTTTACTTTAAGAAAAAGACGTAAACGCTTAAAACGATTTTTGATATATGAATAAAACACTAAAAATATGCTCACTTTGCTATAGAAATTGTGCTATCCATTATTGTTTTCATAGTTAGCAAGTGTACAATACACGTCCCACTGCACCATTAATTTTTCACACCAGGTTGCGAAGCCTCTTTGACCTTGCATAGTAATGCTTCGTACACGGTGTTTAAGGCGGAGCATTCAATTTCAATTACGCGAGAGCTTCTGCCACATCACACTTTCCGATTCCATTCAACACGAGTCCAATGGACCGGTTCATACGATTCGGGTCTCCAGAAATCCAATTTACCAGTAGCATCTGAGGCGTAGCTCACGTAATGAGAGTTGAAATTGCTTCAGTGGCTTCTGGTAATCACCTCGATGAGATACTTTCAGCTCCAGCAGTTGCTTTTCCTTGTGGAGAAAGTTGTTCAATTTCACAATTTGACTGCAATTCCAAATTTGAATTAAACATATATGACAAATTATGTTGTATGGTATAACAAATGAATTTTCACTTTTTAATTCAAAAGAAAATATCACCAAATCCGAAGGAGACGTGTTCCTAATAGCTGACAAAATGTAGTGACAATGACTAAACAAACCAAATTTTTTAAATAAAGTTTTATTGATGATATCGTGTTACCAAATGTTGAATTTTTAGAATTCTAACTTAGTGAATTTGGTTACTTGGAATATATGAACAATCTTTCTTTCTTCTATCGTTGAATCATGGAAAAGAAGTTAAATATAAACTATTCAGAACATTCTATTATACCTGTGTGTTAGATAGACTTTTAAGTACTAATTTTGTTACTTTGAGTTAAAAAGATCACCACACATTTTTGAATACGTATTACAATTTCTCGAACCTATACTGCACCAGAATTGCTACATCTTACCAGATTAGCTACATCTTCTATCAAAATGTTTTTTTAGTTCTTATTATTGTCATACGCATTGATTGCATTGTATTTTGGCTTACCATGAAGACATTTTCAAGAATTATTTATCAATTTTTTTTCTTGAAGAACATATATTATTTCTTATAATTGTGTATTGTATGAAGCGACCTCATTTTTATCAAAGCGAGAATTACTACCAATCTATTAGTTTTTAGTCAGGGAGTAGTGTAATATGTTATTTAAAAGTCGGTCGCATATCCTATGCAAAATTATCGTTTTAATTAATGTGACAAATAAGCAAATAGATTCCGTTAACGAGCCTGGGTGCGAATAACCAACATCTTAAATACAAAAAAATGAATCATTTCTTTTTTACTGCATCTACCAGTTCACAAATGCATCGTAACGATGAGTAAAGCATTTTCCTGAGAACATGTGTGCACATGTCTTCCTCAACGACCGTGTGTACTTAAAGGTAGTAGAATAAAAGAGGTAGCCTTGAAACTGACCCGGATTTCAAATGATATTCTTATTAGTGTTACATTAAATAATGCCAAGTGAAGACATTTAATATGTCATTTTTCGATACATGATTAAGCACACTTGTAGTTCCCAGCCTTGGTTCTCATGATGTGCAAGCGATGTTTGACTGTGCTTGCAACTGAGGAATCACACTCACTTGTTACACTTATATGATCTGCGTAAGAGAATATAGCTGATTGGTTGATAAATTTATGTTCCTGGGCACGTCAACTGCTATGGCCATTAGTTCCTTTAGTTTAGTGAATTAAGGTGGCTGTTATTACTCTCCAGCTGGATGGTGAGATCCGGCGCAAACCTACACGCCCGTTTGCGCCCCCAGGGATCTATCCGAGCGGGGCACCGCTCCTGTTCTAAACTCCCATATGGTCTCCCGGAATGTGTAAAAGTCTAGTGCAAGTTAGTGTGAAATGTGTATGTAAGTGGAGAAAAGTGGGACAACAAAGTGAAAAAAAGATCGCGCGCGGTCCGTGTCCCGTTCGTTAGGGTCCTGCTCGGGCATTCGTCTGGTATTCATCGGAGAAACCACGGAGCACTACCGATCAGAGCAGCCGATCGTTAGAACTCTCCTCTTGAATTCGACCTAGCTAGTGTCAACCAGTTGACCGAGTTTACGTCAAACATCCGCCACCGTTGGGGCTCGTACACGTGATTTTCAGTCTCAGACGCTACTATGATAGCTATGAGCTAACTTAGCCGTCAGGAAAAAATGGTTTCTTCTGCATGCGATATTCATTGATGCAACTCCAACACGTGAGGGTTATGTGGTTAATGTTGCGAAGAGAAGTTGCGAAAACACTGATGTTAAATGAATACTAAACCTAAAATTATGATGTACAATTTCTGAACTTATAGAGCTGACGTCAACGCTTTTCTATCACGTGCACAGTCAATATTGAGTGAAATATAGCCTGATGGTTCAAATTTCTTTAATCATTTTTGTCCTGTTTAGTATTATACCTGAATTTGAAGGAAGTAAAACAATGTTTCAACGAAAATCATGAATAATTCTATGATTTCGTTATTAATTATAATTATTATCCTTTTAACTTGCACTTAACAAGTAAACTTAATTATTTTCATCTACGCATGCCTCTAATAATTTTGTGTAAGGACTTCGTAAAACATATTCAAGGCGCTGTGAATTGAAAATTGATTTTTTTATTTTATTTTATGAGGTAATTTACATGGAGCGCATTCATTGTCAGCAGTTTCTCACAAAGGCCTCACATTTTTTGAACTCTGCATTTTTGAAAATTTTAAAAGTTCGAAGTGTTTTTAGGGTCTCCCCTTTACAATATTGAAGATGGATATTCTTTCTAAATGAAAAGTGTTCTTCAAACACAGATAATTAAATAATGTGACGTTAAATTTTTTGAAAATATGATTAGTTTTCGAGCAAGTTTGTCTGATATAGAGGCAATTTAAATCAGTTATTTTATGAAAAACTGCTTTAATTATTTCTATATTAGAACAAAATGCGCTTGTGAAAATGAGGAGAATTTTTCCTCAAAAAACATTCATTCGATGTATCCATACATTTTTCATCAGTGACAACCGAAAGAGGAGTTGTGGATCCCTATATCACTGAACTAATAACTCGTAACTTTTCACTTCGCAAGTTGAGATGGAATCAGCACACCTCCATTCGTAGGAAAATTGCCTAAACCCCGCGTACTTTTCTCCAGTGTGTAAATCAAACTCTTTTGGAAGTGGCAAGAACCATTCACCACTTTCAGAATCTCCTCTAGGAGAAGTTAAGGAGTGACGGAAGTGTCACGCATGTGAGCACTAAGGTGTTTGGCCGAGCTACGTTGACACACCATGAATGGGTAATACTTTATAGTTTTTTGGTGACCGATGAATTTTCCGCACTGTCTCTTTACATGCCGTGACAGCCAGCGTACGAGCCATGTCCTACCAGCAGCGTCCCGGCCTCGCGGCAGTGGACTAGGAATACGTGGGGTTAGAATGAAGATATCCTCACGCCATGTTCTCATCTACTGGTCTTCTCAACCAGAGAAGTGAATTTTCGTTACACAGCAACATATACTCGGACATAGGAAGGAAAACGCACACACAGATCTCGTCCGACTGGTAGTCGAACCCGGGATCGCGTCATGCAAGCAAGTCAAGCATGCGTCATGTCGCGCAAGCAAGCTGAACACTGAGCTATACAGCCAGATCTTTCCGCAATGTTGTTTCTAAAAACTAATTCCTAGCCCAGTAATTTGATTCATTTATGTACAAAATGAACAAATATATGTGTTACTATTTTCGCACTTTTTGGACCAGCTCTAAAATTTAACTGCTGGATTAACGACAACGTTAGGGGCGGAAATGCAACATTAAATTTCAAAAACGTGTTACCCACAAATTTCAAAAACGTGTTGACCACAATATTGAACCCTATGTTTTATTTCAATACGTAGTGCGTATCTTTCTGTAAAAAGATCTAGTAAAATATATATCACAAACTTTTATTTTTTTAAATAATTCTCATGAATTTTGAAAGCAATGTTTTAATTCTAATTTTTCTAAATTTTGAGAATTCTTAAGTGTAATTTTAAAGGATAGGTAGTAATTTCGTAAAATATAGATAGATGTGTACGTACTATGTATTAATTACTACTAAAAGAACAGAAGATGGAGAAATATTCAATTCACAAATCAAAGCTTATGCTTCCTATATTCATTTATTATACAAAATATTTATATACAATATATACATAAAAAATGACTATGCGCTCTTAACAAACTTGTACATTTCTCTATTAGC